GAAGAGACGGTGTCCGCGGGGTTGGAGCTGATCCTCGGTTCGCAGGAGGGAGGTGCATACGCCCGGGCTGTCCGCTTCTGATGGGAAAAGGAGCTGCGGGCGGACCGCACGTTATGAAAAGCACGGCTCAGGCACGCTAACCGCGCTTACGGAACAGTGCGGGGGGGCTGCCTGTGCCTTAACCCACCGGGAGAAATCTGCCCGGTCGGGGAATGGAATAAATGAAAGCACACACTGAGGGGGTGAGGGAAACAGCAATAAGTACGAGCCCCGGAGGAAGAGCAAAGGACAAAAATCTCATGGTGTGTTTTTGTTGTTGTTGTTGAGCGCCTTTTTTTTTTTTTTTAAATGAGCTTACCTACCATGAACGGAAGAAGTGGATCTGCGGAGACTTCATTTCCTCCTCTGACCCCTCGTTTACATCACTAACTGGTGACAGTCACATCTACATGCATAGTACCTGCCACTTCAGCTGCTCAGAATTAGAGAAGCCTCTTTGTATGCAGCAGACATGGCTAGCCAGCAGGATTCAGGCTTCTTTGAAATCAGTATCAAATATTTACTGAAATCCTGGAGCAATAGTGAGTAGCAGAAGAGTAATCTTTTCATATTACGCATTGCTTGGTAAACAGCTAGGATAACCTAAAGGATAAAATCTTGTATTTCTGTGTGTTTTGTCTTAGATAAACCAAATAATTTTTGCTTTATGTCAGCTCTAAAAATCAGAATGTCAGAGATTTAAATGGGTTTCATTAACTGCAAAGGCTGTAATGAGATTATACTAGATTTTGCTTGATTGAATTCTGAAGTTAGTCTGCTTTCTGGCTCTGTAATGGTACATTGCAGGGAGTGCATTCCAAACAGCGTTTCCTGCCTACATGTTTATTTGATTTGTTCAGGCTTTATCTAAATAATTTTTGAAAATGCTGTTTAATCACAAGGGTGTGGCATGGCTCAGAAGTTGGTTTTGTTAATTCTGCACCGAGGACAAAAGTATGATGGTTATGCTTCAGGTCTTGAAGTCTGTATTTTAATGTGATGAAAAGCAAAACAGCAGTTGCTTATAGCTGTATTTCCCACCCTCTCTGCTTAATTTCAGAATCTTATGCAATATTTCCATCCAGGAAGAATCCATCTGTTTATCTAATCCAGGCTGGGCTTTGCAGAATGTAAACAAATGGCATCTTAGTCTTCCTTGGTCTTTTCAGTATTGCTGTTCCTGGTTTCCATTGCTGTTTAAATCAATCACTCTTTGGATTTTTAGCAATATTATGTAATAAAGATTCTGGAATCAAATTTAGTGTTTGCAAATATATTCAGATTAGGTAAGGCCATGGGATCGGTCTGGCAGAATTTTGCTTTTTAATATAAAATACAGGAAGAGTATATTTTTTTTTTCCTGGAGAAGCTTGTATTAACAGTGCTAGATCTCCATAATTAACTGTTTTTTAAAAGGCGGAACACAGTGTCTCTGGAAAAATCCAACTTGGCTACATATGCAGTAAGGTTCTGATCATCCCACTGTCTGTAGTAACTTCTGCATAATAGACTAGTATTTTAAAATTCTGTGGTGTAAAAAATGGGAAAATGTGCACAATACAAGGTGTGTATCTGAAGACCTGCAAAGAAATAAAAATAATGTTATGTTAGATGTGTGACATGCAAGGCTTGTCTTCATTAAATGATATCCATAGAAACTGTATTTTTCCAGGTCATTTGTAACCTCAGTAACACTGAACTGCTTGTTTGAATCTCTTTTTCTACCACAAGTGTGAAGTCACCAGGGAATAATACTGTTACCTAAACAGCATTGCCTATCTGCCCTCCAATTTAGTGCATATACATTCAAATTACTGATCCCACAAGGACTGGAAAAGGATTTTATAGTTTAGTTACTTTTTTGGACTAATGTTAATCAAACACTGAGGACGTAAGTGTGTATTGTGACAACATATATTTTATAACAAGCTAGTCACAGTCGTGACTGAAGAAAAACAAGTCGCTTTATGGTGCAGAAATCAAATCAGTTTTGATGTTATTTTTCTAATAGGCTACTGTAACTTTAAGACTGAGTAAAACTAGCACTTAAGAATATAACAATGACTATATTATGGAATTGAATATAGCATTTTAATTTTTTTTTCTTCTACATCAGAGTATATTAAAAGTATTTCCAAACAGCAAACATGGTTCTAGACTGAAATTAGAAGTCCTTAAATGAAATTGTATTTTAGAGAAATGGAAATAGCATATGAATATTTGGTATTTTGACATTCATTTAGCTGATAACCATTCTTTCTACTGTATTTCAATGTACAGTAAGAGGAAATAAATTGATCAGGTTGACTAGAACTTGTTGCCAATTTTTTTTTTTTCTTTCAGTCGGGAAGGCTGTGTTCATAAACTTGTATGCATCCTTTCTAGCTGAAAACCAAACAATTTGATCAGCAGACAGTAGGGAGTTCAGAAGACCTAGGGCTTTCTTCAGCTCTGCTATGTGTTGGGTGGAGCAGAGGAAAACACTTCCCTTGCTTGAGAAACTGCTGGGAAGCCTGCACATGCATGCACAGGAACATGTTTTTCAGAGAATAGGTGCTGTGTCTGCATACCCAAGAGCAGGAGTAAGCTATAAATTATGCCATGGCATTTGCGTAGTAGAGAGGACTAACGTAATGTTTTAAAAGCAAAATAAGTTTGGGCCCTACAGTATATTTTTCTCCAGTGATAGTAGCATAGAGGTGCTGTTCACGTATGTTTCTGTAAACTGGCACTTTAAAACAGTAGCTGTAAACAGTATTTATCCTTCCTGGGCTTTATAGTCCCACCAAAACCAGTCCTTTCTAAGGATTTGAGTTTTGGATTAGATGGAACATCAACGTTTTCTAGTAGATTGCCAACCGCACCCATTGCCCATGTCATACCCTGAAATATACTCAGTTATTCTGCGGGGGATGACAGTTTTCTCTGATTTTTTTATCTAAGGTCTGTAGCAAACTGGCATTCTTGACGTGTCGGACAGGATTTCAGTTCAGTGTCACACAGCACTTGCACAAGTGCTCGCCTGGGTGTTGCTTGGTTTTTCATGTTCGTCAACCAGCTAAGGAGACGGTTAATTTGTGGGCACTGGAGTCAGTTCATTTTAGGACCCTGTTAACTCTTGCAGTCAGGATGATCACTCGGCGGTGTGTGCACTCTTGTTCCTAGGGCACAAAACAGCCGAGTCACGGTCTGGCCTTTGAATCTTCCCACCAAACTGAGAGACCTCAGAATACTCCTTTGTGCAGCTCTCGGAACAGACTTTTCCTCTGCACATGACAGTAACATACCCCACCCGTCATGCAGTTCTGGAAAGTATTCCTGTAATGTGTTGGAGATGGGGATCATAATTGGGATTCTCTGTTTGGAAAATAAGTATAATCCTTTTTTTTAAACTGGTCTAGTTTAGGTTGTGATGTATTCTTAAATATAGCTTTTTTTTTTTTGATCAATGCTGCATTAGTCAACAACTGCATTAATCATTTGCATTACTTCTGAAGTTACTGCTCGCTTGGCCCACTGAGGTCAGTAAGATGATGAGAATAAAATAGGTCTCACCAAAAGTAGGACAATTAAGAGACTTCTCAGATTTGTTATGGAAATATTGCAAAATACTTTTTGTAAATATTGTAAAATAACATATGAATCCAAATATTCAGAATTTGAATCTGCTCTTTTCTTAGATTGCTTTTACTTTTTGAATGAATCAGATGTTAGATTTATTCTGAATTTAATTTCCAAATGCATTTTTCAAATAAATAGTTTCCAAAAATGTCAGAATAGAAGTTTAAAAATCAAGCTACAAGAAGCTGGAGTGCCATCATTATAAACTACTGCAGGAAATTCTATCATAAATTCATGTTTTTTGCAGTTTCTAGATCAGATCAGCAATTAAGTTTATTGGAGGAGAAGATTCTGTAGAAGAGGCCAGACGGCACAGGTAGATGGCTCACTTGTGCTCTCACAAGTCAGCTCTTACGGGCTGGTAAAAACTGTATTTCACTGTCTCCCAGTTACTAGGGATTGATTTTAAGGTGTCTTTTTGTATAATGAAATGAGAAGGCACATTTTGCATGGTGAACACTATGTTTGCTACTTCTCATAGAAATGTTACCTTTAGGACCTTATTTTTAAGGATACAGCACTTGTTTATCTACGTTTGCATGGCAAGATGTTGTTTTTTCTGTGGGCTTGTATTTAATACTGATTTGGAATGAGGCCTTTTTCGGTATTAGGAATTGGGGTCTCTTTCCCATGGCCCATAATTCCCTGTATTCTTCCACGGTAGCCACCATCCACATCAAAATCCTTCTCTCTCATCCTCTTCACCTTTGTGCTGCACAGAGCCCATTGCTCAATCCTCCTGCTACACACCCCGTGCTCCTGCATGCCCTGGCCCTCTAGCAGTGCCTGGCAAAAGCCACTCGCTCTTTACTAGTGGTGGTAGCATTGGAGACAGCTTAATCCTGGGGGCACACAGGCACCCACATCAGTTATTGCTCGCACGGCTCAAACACGACAGCATCCCAAACAGTCCCAGGAGGATCTCTGGCTCCGCTGCAGCTTGCTCGTCGCAGACGGCGCTGCGTGCAGTGCTGGCGTCCAAACAGGTTGTGTTGTCGGGAGAGCATCCCGCATATGAGGAACTTCTCGATGGCCACTGTGAAAGCTGGGGGGTTGGTGGCTGCCATGTTGTCCTTCATTAAATGAATGTAGTACATCTGGCAATGAAATTCAACCTTTGTACGGGGAATATTCCTGAAGTCCTGTGTCCATGAGCAAGAGAAAGGGAGGGTCATGGGCAATTTCTTAGGTACAAGCCAGTTACATGTAAGTTCTGTGGTGTGCTATGGGGATATTCTAGTAAGGCTTTATTGCGTAGGCGGGTAACAGCCGTTTTGCAGGGGGTCACTTATCTGCAGGCAAACATAGACCTGTTTAAAGCTGAATACGCTAAGCACACTGTGCTATCAGACTTTGTGATTTTAGCAAGGTACCAGTCCAGGAAAGAGACTCCTTCATGTTTCTCAGTGCCCACTTAAACACTTCAGTGACCAAGAAGAACCTACCCTTCGCTGCCATCTCTCTTGCTCTGGCATTCCGGCACTTGCAGACCTGGAGTGTGGTGATTCGAGAAGCCGAGAGCAGGCTGGCACTGATGGAGAAACTGCAGCCACGCTTGGACCTTCTCTTGCTTGCTGCTGTGGTCTCACCCTGATACACCTGCTGAAATGCACCACTTCCTGAGGCCTCCAGCCTCTGCCTTTAGGGAGCCTTGGGGATGAAGGTTAGCATCTGCTCAGGCCTTAGCATGTGACTCTGCTTGGATAAAGGATGCTATTAATTCAAGCTGTCTTGCTACATAAAGGGAATTGATTGCTCTATCCATTGAGCCTGGAATTAAGGTGCTCAGTGTATTCTTCAGCTTTAAGTAGTCTGTGATTGCCAGCAGAAAAGTGACTTGCTTAAGAGTGACACCTGGGCAACCTTCTTTATGTTTGTCTGCAGATCCATATCTTCTTCTCCACAGAGCTGTAGGGGAAGGTATTATACCAGATTGTTTGGGCTGTGTTCTGGGTGGTACCCATTTTAGAATTTGCACTTTGACATGGCTCTTCTTAGAAGCGAAGATTGAAGTTTTGTGACTTTGGGGCACCTAAAAACTCTTAAAAGATAATTTTTGTTTATTTTTATGTTTTGCTACTCTCCAGGACCTTCCAGAATTGTTTCTGCCACACTGGAAGGAAACAAGCATGAGAGAATCCAGTGCTGCATTGTAAAATCTGGTTTATTTACAGAATGAGTTTGATTGCTATTAAGAAGTCTGAATTACTGTTGTAAACATCTACAGATAGTTTGAGTGCAGTCTTAGTGCATAAATTTTTGTGGCAAAACTTCAGTCCTTATCTCAAAATATAAAATAGTCTGGAAACTAGACATAAACTCAGCATAGATAATTACTGGTACATATTCCATAAAAGTTCCAATAATTTTACTTGGGGTAAAAAGACAAAACTGTTTTGTTCTACTATTGGTACCCCCTTTGAGTGATTAATTTGTGATACCTGATGTTGCAATACTGTTGGTTTATCAAATTACTAGCAATTTGTTTTTTTTTCTTATATAGTTAGTTATTCTTCAAAAAGATCAGGGAAAAAAAAAATAACAATTCTTGTGGTTTCCTCTATGCATGTAAAATACCACAGAAGAAGCAATAAGTTTATATAGGTATATATGAAAAAAGAACATGTCTAAGGGAAGCGATCATACACAGGTTACCTTACGTGTACAAGCGTACAGAAGTGTCCATGGTTTTGTAAAGGAGGATGTAAGCTGAAATGCTACTTCAAATTCCTTTTGTATTTTGGTCACATTTGATGAACTCATTCATTAATAGGTTAACCTCTCTTCTCTATATTGATCTTGTGGACAATAGGAAACAGTCTCCACATTTCCAGAATTCCAATGGCATGTACTTGTCCAGCTTTATTTTCTGTGTTCATTCCTGAGTTTCTAACAGATTGTTAAGTGCTCCAACACTTGCTGTGAACTGGTATCCCTAGAGAATGAATTCCTGTGGGTATGGAACCCGCGATGAGCAGGTGTGGGTTTGCGGTAGCTGTGCCTGGAAGTGGCAGTCCCACCCCAGCCTCTTGACCCTGTTCCCATACTCCTACCTATTCTTTCCCACCCTCTCTGCCCATACAGTTAATACCCTGCCAGTTCAACCTTCTAAAGTGGTGTAGATATTTAAAACTTGAGGAAGTTGATGAATTGGTGATGTTGGTTCACAAGGGGGTTTTGAACCTCCTGATGTCTGCTGGAAGTGCAGTGTAGTAGGATGCAAGCGATCCAGATTTCTCAAGGGTGTTGGGAATAACTCCTTGATACAGGATGGACAAACCAGGAGTGAAGTGCAGGTGGATTTGCTACCGGCTAATAAGGAATAATTGGTTGGAGCTTAGGATCCTGAGAAGAGTGAGGAAAGTGGGTTGCAGAGTACAGACCCTGCATGTTAGGAGAGCAGATATTAGTTTTTCAGATTTCAGAAACGTTACGTGGGATCCCATGGGAGCCAGGTCTGAAAGGCAGAGGAACTCAGGACAGCTGGCAGGCCTTTGAGGTCAGCATCTTCCAAGTGCGAGAGTGGCACAGCCTGATACCCTGGATATCTTCAAGGCCAGGCTGGATGTGGCTTTGAGCAACCTGGTCTAGTGGAAGGGGTCCCTGCCCATGGCAGGGGGCTTGGAACTAGATGGTCTTTAAGGTCCCTTCCAACCCAAACCATTCTGTGATTCTATGATTCTATGATACTGGGGGAAACAAGGAGACATAGGAGGAGACAGGCTTGGCTTATCAGGGACCTCATGGTTGAGCCCCAGTGCCAAAAAGGAAGTATATATCGGAGGCAGGAGCAG